CCCCAAAACCCCAAAACCCCTATTATAATTTATAGGATATATATAGGGAACTAATAGATTACTAAAATATTATAATAAATCATAAATGCGAAAGCTATAATCATAAGGAGATGTTAGCAAGCCTATGAATCGAAGATTGCTGGGAGAGGAAGAATACCCTAAAGTTATACCTGAAAAAGATAATGATGAAAAAGATGAAGAATCGTCAGTTTCATCAGGAGAAGAAAATATACCAATCAAGGACTAGATCAGAATGGGCGCTCTCCAGAAATATTAAAAGTATAGTAAGTCAACTTTTATTATGCCTAGTTTTGATCTCATTTTAAAGATTTGTTTCCGTGGAAAATGATGGTGCATTTAATTCTGGTAGCATTGACGACACTTCAGATTATAGCTGTTGTTGAGACTACTGGCTCTTACTCACTGAACTAAGCTAACTTATTTTACTTAAATTTCCTAAATGATAAAGGTGATGATGTAAGTATTTTACTGCGTATAATCCATTGTTGTTTGATGATTTTAATCCAAATTAAACTTATTTCTTATAGGCATAATACAATAAACAGGATATAGTCTATTAAAAGTACATTTATTCGAGAACATAGCTGAAGGAAATTGGTAAAAAATCTATTGATAATTACTTCAATCTCGTAAGCAACTAAGCTATTGAGGAATATAACATTTATGACGATAATGGCAAACCATTAAAAGTTATTGCCAGATATTTCTATATGGATAGCCAGTATGATGATGGTGAAAAACTATTCGACCTAATTGAAAAAGGGTCATATGGTATGTTTGAAGATGATGCAAAGCTTAATTAAATCTTGAATGATACTTCAATGTTTACTTTAACCTACAAAGTTAAGAATCTGATCCCTGAAGAGGCACCAGCTACTGCTAATTGCTATCTCTGGGAAATCCAATAACAGTTTAACTTTTAGGATAGAGGCTATATTCAGCTATAAGTTTAGATGCAGAGATCAATTTGCTCCACAGACTATGATAATCCTTGGGCCAATATGATTTGGATTCCTATTCTTAACTTAATATTCTCTATGATATCGCTATTTCTGATTATCAAATATCTGAGTGATGTAGTTCAGTTGTATAGAAGAATGAGAAGAAAGTATCAAGATTAATAGATAGAGGATAGACTCATTAAATAAAGATTGGCAGAGCTATAAAAATCTGCAACTGATATTTCTCAAAATCAAAGCATAATTAGGCACAGTTAAAGTGTTGATTATCAAAGAAGAAATAGCAGTATGAGCAGTAATTATCAAAATTTGTAGAGAATGAATTCACAGTATTTGGAATAAGTTAGTAGCCCAAGGTAGTTAAGGTTAAAACAACAATAATCACCTCAAAACTACAACAGGATAAGTACTAATGAAAGAGAAGCTAGAGCTACTGCAAACTTTGCAGGTCAAAAAAGAGATTTAGAAAGATAGGATTCAATATTAGCAAATGCTTACAGGAATTCAAATCGATAAACAGATAAATAATAGAGTAAAAGGATTCTTGGAGAGTATGAAGAAAAAGTTCGATCAAGATTAACTGAAAAAATTAAGGGGAAGAGAGAGTTAAATTTAGAAGCAAATGAAAGTGTTGAGAAGATGGATGAGTAAATAGATTACTAATTCAATTGGGATGACTTAACATTCTAAGATAAAGCCAAGTTGTTTAAGTATTGGTCATTAGTAACTCTTTTCGCAAATATCATCCAGATATTTGCTGCTCTTTTCTTTATATTCAAGAGCTACTTTGGATTGCATATCTCTGAGTATTTATGTGGATTTGGATGCATGTTCTCATGGATTTCATTGATATAGTATCTTGAATACTATTCTGAGTATTCATTTATTAGCAAAACACTAAGTGTTGCGATTCCAAACATTTTCAAAACTATTGTCGGTGTTCTACCCCTCTATGTAGGTGTTGTCTTACTTGGGTGTATTTTATTTCCAGGTTCTCAAAGATTCTAGTCTTTTTCATATGCCTCTATGAACCTATATTCCATCATTAATGGAGATGAACTCTAAGATACTTTCAGAGACCTGCAATCAGTTGGATTCCTGATCGCTCTAATCTATCTATACATATATGTATTCTTTGGCTACGCGTAAAATTCTTTTTGCTCTAACAATTTTTAGAGTTATCGTTAACATGTTTATTGCTATTATTGAAGATGGATTCATGGATACAAAATATTCATCTAGGTTTGATTGGTTAAAGAGAAATAATGGAATTGGGGCAGATTCATCTAAAAAAGATGGTGATGATAAAGATGATGATGATGATGACAAGGGCGATAAAAAAGACAGTATAGTATCTCCTTAGAGAAAGCTTAGCTTTGAAAACAGTTTCGATAGGACTAACGGTAGTATTTCACTTAACAGCAAAAATTTGTAATTTTATAATTGTCTATATTTATGTGTAATTAGTGAATCACAACTAAGGCAAGAAAAAAGTATAAAAACATTGCAGTCAATCTTAAATTTTGAAGCAGACAAGTGGAAGAGAAAGAAATCAATCTTAATTGGAAATCAGAAGACAGCTATTAACGAGAATAGTATGATAGATAGCAATAAACAATCATTAGTCAATTCAAAGATAGAAGAATAGAAGTTAAGAGAAACTGAAGCTAGGCAAAAAAGATCTCAATTAAATGAGGATTAGCAAGAAATATAAGAAAGAGCTCACGGAATGGTGGTGTTTTACTGTATTAAGATAAAGAAGGATTTGGAGAATCTGGAAATTGAATATGAAAAATTGAGTAAATTGGTAGAGAATGAGAAAGATTATGAAGTAATAGTTATGATTGAAAATGAAAAGTAAAGTGTCGTTGATCTAATTCAAAACCAGATAACATAGTTTGAAATCATCATTGAGGAAATAAATAATATGTGAGGAAATATCTACAACCAGTAAAGCTTAAAACTAAATTCGAACTCTAATTGAGAAAGAAATTGGTACTCAATTCCAATCAAATTATTTATTTCATAACTCTTTAAATGTATTCTCATCATAACTAACGGGGTTTTGGGGTTTTGGGGTTTTGGGG